GGGATCGTTGAAATTTCCGCGGCGTATCTTTTTCTTGTATTAGATTGTCGAAGTAAATTGCCTTCTTCGCGTACGCTATATCCAGTTATGAAGTGCACTGAGCGAGAAATTAACCGCGAATGGCAAAAAGTTGAGTGATTCGCTCATTACAGAAATTTACACACTTAAATTCACAAGCACAACATGCATCTCTCTAATTTTTTTTTTTTACAAACCACAGTTAATAAATTAAATTATAATTTAATGAAAAAGAAATAATTTATCTGCGCGTATTATCTGACGATAATAGCCTGTCATTAAATTACAACAAATAATATTATCGCTATCAAATTAATTAAATACATGTGATTTACTTTCGATATGTAATCCAAATCTTTGGTAGCATATGTATTACAAGAGTGATTGACACAAAAATAACACGAATACACGAGAGATATCTCGATATAAACACGAAATGCATATTATGCTACTTTATCAATCCAGTCACGAGTCACGATACGATAGGTTCCTGTTGCTTTTTATTCACGCGTGCTATCGATAGCTGGTAAAACTATATGCGTGCTGTAGTCGGTATATATCAAAGGGAATTTTTCCGAGAGAGAGAGAGAAAGAGAGAGAGCGAGAAAGATATGTTAAAGACAACGAGCATTAATTTATATTTGTTTGCGAGATACTGTAGATGGTGCATCGATGAAAGTATATATCGACAATCGCGCTTTCTCGATCCTTCCTTTCCTTTCTCCTATGGTGTTGAAAAAAATTGAACAAAAAATCATAGTATCATATACAAAGTATATGATATAGTACAAAAATACGGGACATTTCACTGGGCAAATTATAATCGCCGATTACTTTCTCGATCCGTAATTACGCTCCGTACTTTCTTGCTAATTACAAGCAGTTCTCCGTTCTCCGCGGTTTGATTCTTTAATTAACGATTAGAGATATCGCGTCCAAGTTACGCGCAACTTGGAAAGTGCACGTCTCGACGATGAAGATGCGAGATATACATATATTTCCTTGAATCTCCCGCTTTAGAGATGCACGCTGTTTCGACCTGCAATCTCGGATGGGTTTTTCCCACAAGTTTCTACTCGGCCCTAATGTACAACACGCGCGCGATGGCTTTCTACACTTTATTCCGCCAGTACTTTGTCGTGTTTACGACTAACGGATCATTAACCGGCGATAAATTAGCGAAATGTTAGGAGAGCTCGTAAAGCCATACGAGCGTTCTCATTTCTTCATGTCGATTAACCGCCCGGCTTTTATGAAACCGCCGAATTACTTGGTTCAAAATCTTGGATAAGTGATTAAAAGATAATGAGTAGAAGTGAAATTTTTTGTTCAAATAATCTGACCGCGTATACTTATATCAACTATCAAAAAAAAAAATAATAATAATAAACTGTAGAATCTCTTTGTGTTATAAAAATTTCCTCGTATCAATTTTCAGGTACAATTATTTCATTATTATTTAATACGTGCGTGTACAATTTTCTCAGTTTCTCTCTATAATCGTTAGAATTAGATAATTGGATTTTGCAATAATTACCTTCGTAAAAGTGCTATTATTTTGAAAATAGAGAGAATTGTATAGCAACTTATATCTGTTCTGCTCTCGATTGCTCTTGATGATTACGGAATACAAATGTATTCATTGCACACGCTTTTGCAATCCGTATGACGTTCTGAGAATGGAGAATGTCCGCTTTTGCGAGGATAAACAGGGCTGACTTTGAATGGCTTCGAGTACATCGAGTACGGTTTGCGTTCCCGTCATCCCGTATCGAAATCCGACTAATCCGCGAATGTGATTCGATGACTGATCGATGACTGATCGCTATCAGCCTCGCTTCGTGTCACTCTAAGCCCGAGCGCTAATGGAAACCGTACGTGACACGTGCTCGCTTCTAATTATATCCGTGCGACACACGGTTATAATCACGACGACTCAGCCGTAATTCTAGAGTAAACGTGCTTCGGCATCTCTACACATAACTCAAACAGATATGTATGTATGTATATGCATAGGCGCGATTAAAGCCAAAGGATATTGAGATTTGTACGTCAAGTTATGAATATCGTATGAATGGAAGTCGAGAGGACGCGTGTATATTTCAGTGATTCTGGACATAAATATTAGGCAAATCTACATAATTAATATATTTTTTTTTTCTTCAAAAGGAATAACGATTTGTATCTATATATATTTTGTATTGCGCTATCATTTTATTTTAGGTCTGTAAAAAAAGTATTTTTTTGAATATTATATTATATCGAAATAATTATATGTATAAAAATGAGATGTAAATTAATGTTTTATTTGTAATAGTTTACTTTTCATTATACGTGTCAATTCTAAGTATTTTCACTTTGAAGATAATGAGATAATGAGATTACGTTCGCTGCTATAAATTAATTACAGTTAAACTATTCAATAAAAATACAGAGATATATTTCAATGAAATTAATATATAATACATATGTGTGCTGATAAAGAATTAAGTTTTTTCACGCCTAAATGAACCGAATAGAAATAATTGAACAATTTTTATTATTCATAAAAGGGAGAATAAAGTTTAAAAAAATTCTCATCCCTCTCAAATTAATCATAAAATGAAGCGAAAGAAATTAGTTATTTAAAAAAGAATTTATAATTTTTTTCATATCAAAACAAAAAAATATCAGAAAAGAGGAAATAAGTAAAATTAAATTTCGCATAAATGAATCTATTATTGTTACGTATATCATATAATTGAACGAGAATTATTAACCGCGACCAGTAAAATTTGCGCAATAGTAAAGTTCAATCCATTAAATATTGATTTAATGTTTTCGACGATTCTTACATATGTGATGCTAATAACTGATAACTGATAAATAATTGCAAAATTACATGAATGCTACATAGAACGAGAAATGTCAAAGCCATGATCTTTGACTGCACTGATTACTCAGCTCTTTCTCGTTGGCGCCTGAAATACTAAATATGGATCCGAGATTATATTATTCAAAATGAGATAACTAGTGAGATATATTTCATATTACAATATCCCGCGCAGAAAAATAAAAGAGAGAAAAACAGAGAGAGAGATAGAGATAAATAGAATGAAATTCACCTACTGCTATGGATAACTTTTAATTCTTGCATTTCAAAGTGGAATTAAATTACATGAAATGAAACAAATGAAAGTTGCGTAGTAAAATAATGCGAAAATAATGGACGTAGCGATGGTTAAGTTCAAAGAGCATAGTTTAATTTAGTTGTCGTAAACTGTGTAATTCAGTTTCTGGCTTTCGGCCTCGGGCAAAAATTTCAAATTTGCATCCTCGTTAAAATTTGATGGTGCGAGTTTTTGCGAGAATTGCATCAAGAAAATTTCAGACGTATAGGAGAAAACTGTGCCGTCTCTGTCAAAGAGAAAGAATGAGAAGTGCTTCGATTTTCAAGAGTGGAGGATACTTATCGAAGTCCAGTATCCTTAACAACGCTCGACCTCCGATGTGCATAACTTTACCGAATGCTTTCATGCAAATTCAACGTTGCCCTCTTCTCCTACCTTAGGTTTATACCAATGGTAATCGTGTTCGACGTGGAGCGAACAAAGTTTCCACTCGAAACTTTACGCTAAAGTAACAACCCAAGTTTGTCCTTTACCTGTCGATCCAAAAACACTTTTGTGCACCGAGAGAGTACACTATTATGTATCTTTCAAATTTATCGAAGAACAATCATCTCAACCTACAGCTCTAAACGAAATCCTCGATATATAAAAACGTTGCAGAGTAAAAATGTCGGAAAAAGTGATTTTTTCCTGAACAACACTAATAGCTCCGCGGAAGAATGTTGAGAGAACCTGGTTCTTTTTTTTCAACTTTTTAATATGAAATTAATAAAATGGCATAATCTCGCCACTTTGCGGCTTTAATAAGCTTTCCGTGAAAAAACGCTTGAAAAGCTGTAGAATTCTGTTGAATTATCTATATGGTTATTTTTTTTCTTACTCTTGCGCTAATGATTCAGAAGATCTCTATGCTTAAGTCAACGATAATTTGAATACGCGTGTGTACATCGTTGTTACATACGCATTATCCATTTGTAAAAATGAAGCGTGTTCGTTCTCACACGACTATTCAGCGAATGTGTCTTTGCCTCTTGATACTTCTCAATTATACATTCAATCTAGCTGGCTTCGGTTTAATGCGCAGAACTAAAATTGTATACATGTGTCTGTCGGAACTGTTCGTTTATGCACGATAGTCGCCTCTTAATTAAGTGCGCCGGCGCACAATAAGACCGAATCGGTAATGAGAACTCGAATATTCATACTTTTTTTTTTTATTAAAGAACGAGGGTGATGCACTCTCGAGCGACCTTCTCTGCAAAATAATAACAAAAAGCTTTTTGTTTTTTTCGTAAATTATTCGCGAACTCGCGCCTTAGTTTTGCTACTCTAACGCTTAATTGTCAAATTTTTAATTTCGTATAATCATATACACAGAGAGAATTTTCTTTTAATTTACCCTGAAAATCATGGTAATCGTGGGACAAAATATTAATATTCACTATAAAAAGATATAAAATATGTTCGATTAATTTTACTATCTGCATATTAATATTCTTTTATTGTGGTAAATATTAATTAGAGAAGCTCTTACAAAATTCTTTCAATACCACATTATCCCACCGTATTACCATGATTTTCAGGGTAAATTCCTAAGAGAAAATTCTCTCTGTGGATATTATAAAATGTTCCGTTTTAATTTACAAAAAAATGTTGATTATATTTCTATGTAAACGGCATAAATATTAATAAAGCCTCGGCATGCAAATTGCTCCGAAATTTGCTCTCCTGCCCCATTCATACATTTGAAAGGACGTTAAAAATCTATATCATAAACGTCCAGAGAGATTGATTACGCCGATGGCTGAACACATTAACACTGCGCATATATTGAATGACGCGTTAAGGACGAGAATGCCATTTATTTCTCAGGGAAGAAGATGGAGGAAGACAGCACGTGGGACAAGTTGGTCGCCGTTCTCGGAGAAGTGATCGGAACGGCAATGCTGGTTTTTCTGGGATGCGCGATATGCGTGGGCAGTTTGGGACATCCATTGCATGCCATTCAAATCCCCCTCGCTTTTGGTCTCGCTGTCATGATAGCAATACAGGTATAAATCATTTATGTGTAGATCTGACTATTAACGCGACTATTATCCTTGAGAATAATATTGCTTTACTTGTCATGCTACGTTTGTTTTGCAACATTTATATATTATTAGCATTTGTATTATTTTTTTTTACATTCCTTTTCATTGATGTTTTATATTTATATTTATTTTTCCGCGTCTTCAATAATATCTTGCGAAGAAAAATGTATATGAAAAATATATGAAACTAGTATCAAGTCGGGCGCCCGAGACGCGACGTTATCGAATCTTATCGTCGATTAATGTCACTTGTTTATTCTTTTTTTCAGAGTGTCGGCCACATCAGTGGCGCTCATCTTAATCCGGCTGTTACCTTGGCTACGGTGATTCTTGGCAAAACGACTTTGGCAATGGCCGGATTCTACGTCATTGCACAATGTTTGGGTAGCCTGATAGGTTTCGGTTTGTTAAAGGTCAATGAATACGTATATTATTCAAGATATCAAAATTATGTTATCTCAGAGTTATAATTTCAAAATTACGCGGACTCGAAAAATTGAACTCTTCATAGATCGTCATAATACAATATAATCGTGGAACTGCTTCGATTTATTCTTCGGGCTCTTGCACGAGCTTTCGAAAAAAATATATTGATTAACTTGATATTTCCATAATACTAATCATAAGATTAATATTAACTATATGATATTTAATCAGAAAACATTTAATATTAATCGTATAGTTAACTCTTTTTTAAATACTAATTATATATACAGATGATAACGCCGTCGAATTATTTGCACGATGGCGATCCAGACACGAAGGATTCCTTCTGTACAACGCATATGAATGAAAACATCCAGGATTTAACCTTCGCTCATGGATTCGGTGCCGAGGCTTTAGCCACGGGAATATTAGTCTTTGTCGCCTGCTCAATTTGGGATTCGCGAAACGCGAAAAACACCGACTCGGTGCCGATAAAATTCGGTCTCACCATCACCATGCTCGCTTTCGCTTTTGTTCCTTACACCGGCTGCAGTATGAACCCTGCTAGATCGTTCGGACCAGCAGTCTGGAATAATTACTGGAACCATCACTGGTTATATTGGGTAGGACCGCTCGTAGGCTCTGCAATCGCGACCCTGATCTACCGATTTTTATTCTCGCCTAAGACGAAAAACCAACACGACTCGGAAACTTTCAACGACGTCGAGGCGTAAATGGAATCGCACGTAAGTACGTTCATCTCTGAACTTGTTGAACCTCGCATTATTTTATATGCGGTATAGATCATTAAAAAATTCACTGGAGCCCACACAATAATAAAATATCACGATTAAATTAACAGTTAATTTTTTTTAGAAAAATGCACTTTAATTGGATTGAATAATTTTGTCATAAATAATTTGTCAAACTCTTGTGTGTTAAATAAGTATATTCAAAAATGATATAAAACTGATTATTTAAAGATGATAGAATTGATCTTTTCTAAAAAAAACACAAGAGTTTTAATTGAAAAAAAATTATTCGAAAGACACCTCGCTCGTGCGTGAATATTTCCTTCTTGTTGAAAATCTCAATGTTACGCGAACTTGGCTTGTTCCCAAAGCTATTTTTTTTTATAACGCTTTGTCCTATCTTTGTCGATTCGGTCTCGACTCAAGTATCTGCTAGATATTTTTGGGCAAGGTATAATGTCACTTTTGTCAAGTAATCTACGAATCGAGCTTATATATATCGTGCGCTCTCTCTGTCTTTCAGCGATCGAAATTGCATTCCGGCTGTCGGTGGTTCACAAATTGAACGGGAAATCCTGAATCGCGGCGATATTTTCCTCCTCGGCTGAAAAAGAGGACGTTGTAAAAGTTCCGGCGGAAAATCTCGCGCGGCTCGATGGAAGCAGATTGGACAGGCTTCGAACTTTACGGATTTCTACTTTCAGGATACTCTCGTCGGAAACATCTCACTCGCAAAATCTCGTAATCCGAAGGATCCTAAGGACAAGGATTTCTCCGTTGTCAGATTGTTCTGACGAATTATTTTTGTACAGAAATTTGATGTAATAAAGCGCCTCAGCGTTGTCTTCTCGCTTATTTCACGTGGTAGATGTAGAATTTCTGGTGCGCGTTTTCGTTATCATAATCATTTGTTATTTGTATGACGGCATATCGCGGCCGAGCGAAACGTAACGTAGAAATGCGTTGTAAATGTAAAGTGCAAAATGTACGAAAAATATAAATTCTATTTTCTAAACGCGTGTCCCTTAAAATTGAGAAAAGTATGGGCCAAAAGTACACGTATATATATTATAAAAGTGTAAGCGCAAATTCTTGATAATTTTCTTCGAGAAATCAGATATACCTAATATTGTAAGTATAAGTATATAATGTTGTGCGTATTCGAATATTTTTATGCCTCGTAACATTCATTTGAAATACGCTCGTCCGTGACGCATACATGAATATTTATATCCTTTTGCTACGTAGTTTTTACACACATCCCCAGCACTTTCGAAGATAATCGCTCCATGTCGTCGTTGTAACGTGCAACGAAACACTGTAATGGCTTGTGATTTCGTCTCGCCTAAGTAGCGTATAATTTAAGATACTAATTCTCTCGCACTCTCGTTTCTCTCCCATTTTTCTTGTTTTTTTTTGGTTTGCGGAACGAAAAAGAAAATCTCTCTCGCAGCGACCGAATCGCCCCGCGGTTTTTATTAATTATTAGCGAATTTATTGTACACACGTAGACTCGGTTCGCTCGCTCCGCAATTCCACCAAATTCGCCGCCATTATATATCGTACGCGTACGCGATGCAGCTCGTTAAGGTCGACATCTCTTATCCCTGCTGCGACGAAATTCGAAATAACGGAATTAGTCTCGGCGAATTCAGGAAATTGCCTCCATCGCCGTCGGTCGCGCCAAAGTTTTAATTGTATATTCGATCTATACGTGTCTCTGTGCGTGCCTGCGTCTACGTGTGTGTGTGTGTGTGTGTATGTATGTTTCTGTATGGATGTGCGTGTAAACGCGATTGCAATTACGTTCTGCAACTTAATGTATATGTAAATACAAGATACACGTTCGGACCTCCTCGCTCGTTTCATATATATTCCTCTTCTCTCTCTCTCTCTCTCTTTCTCCCTGCTGTAGATAACAATAACTTTAAGAGCCCGTATGCGAAATCGCGCGCTAGATTTCCTGGAATTTCGCAAACTTGTTTCGCGCGCGAATGACGGTGGGGGATAAGATCGAATTTCGGATTACACGGACTGCAACGTGTAAAACTTATGTAAGTGATTTTTAATTGTAGTAAATTGTGGCTTCAAATAATTTCACGCAATATTTTGCCGTGTTGTAATTTTTTTCTCATCTATTTTTTTCATAAGTTATATTCATAAGTTAGATTCTAGAGAGAAAGAGGCGCCTAATAATTGAATCTTTAGAATTAGTTTTAGAGATTTGTGTGATTTGTAGACAACTGTAAGTATAGCTTAGAAGTGACAATAAATATAAATGTTCATTTATAAATGTGTAATTTATTTACACAAAGTGATGTAAATTTGCTACCAATATTTTCAAGTTTATAGTTTTATGAAGTAAAAATATTTTTTATTCAGAGACTGCAATGCTTCAGAATAAAAATAAATAAAATTCATTCATATATTCGCGTTTTATTGATAATTTTTGGCCTGAGAAGAGAAAATGAGTTGAAATATATCGACAAGTCGAAAAATGTTAATCTGTTATAAAAACATAACGTTCGTACTTAATTAAATATACATAATCCTGAAAATATATACAAACGATTTGGAGGCGTGTTACGATAGAAAGATATAAAAATAGCGATGATCGTATATGAACGAGCAAAGCATATTGTTGCGAAAGAAATATACCTACGTCAAAATATTCGATTTCAAAATTGGTATATTCTTAGGGTTTCCGCTATTGATATTCTAAGAAATAGATATTGCAAGATACATGTTTTAAAAAAATTCACAAATTAGATAAAAAAAAGTTGGAATAAAGAGATAAAAATATGGATTAAAAAAAATGAGAAGAGTATGACAAAATGACTCAGATAAAGCGACATTCATGTCACAAATGACATTATTGCTGGGAAACTTACAATTAGTCATTGTTTCTATTAGTTTGTCAGTCAGTCCCACGTATTCTTCAAGTTTTTCGTTATATTGTTACGTAAGCAACGATAAAGATTTAAACGTTAATTGCACAGAAAATTACTTCCTAGCATTGTCCGCGACGCAGAAGATTTCTCAATCTTGATCTAATGTACATTAGAGAGAATTCGCTCATGGATCAGGAAGCAGAGAGCGTGATAATGAAAGTTTCGGCTGTTGTCAACAGCCACGTGCTGACGAATACGCCGAAAACACCCGCAGTAGCGTCGATACTCCCGTGGGAACCCCCTTCTATATTCTGAAATTAACATCCCCGCCTGATTTTAATGTACGAGCGAATAGCGAGCGACGAAGTAGGGCGTCCAGTCGTTATTACATCACGCGGGCAGAAGCCACGTGTCTCGTCTCTCGCACGATACAACCAAGTTACGATCATATTCGCCGCTCACAAAGAGGCCGGCTGACGGAGTGTGCGGGTGTCCCTCTCCATTTCTTTCTCTTCGTTGTATTGAGACCCATCCGGGACATTTGTGTTTGTGGTGTTGTGACACTCTCCGTTTCGAGAGACGCTCCGTCATGCCGGCGAACGATTTACGCGCAGGTAAGAAACTCTCATTAGAATCACTTCTCTTTTCCTTCAACAAGTGTCGACGAAAGCGACGAATAAATTAGAATTATTCATTATTGCTGTAATCAATTCCGCGGTAGCTATAGAGCCGATACTATATGGTAATGTCATAACTGGAGCATTTCCTATACGCACAGTTAGAGTTCAAGGATGAGATTTATGGTAGAAAATATGTATTAATATGTATTCTTAATAGATGTAGATTTTTATTTAGATATCTTGTTTATTTCAATATTTCTGTCTAATAATATTACTTGTAAAAGTGTTGCTATTTGTTATCATTTTATTTTATTAAATGAACGAAATATATAGTTTACTTTCAAAACGTCTATTTCTTGAAGAAGAAACGTGACGTAGTATATATATATATATATATATATATATATGTCACAAGTATATTTATACGTTACATTTATTGACTCATCTATATATATATACCGGGGACTCAAGGTCTGAATAACTTAGAAAAAGTCTCGAAATATACAAAAGATCTTGAAAGACAGAAATGCGATATTCATTTTCAAATCAATTTCAATATCACTGATAATACTGATTTCTCACATATTTAGAATTAAATATCTAATTATTTATTAGTCTTTAATACTATATGTGTATTCTTAAATTGATGTGAAGTCAAACAGAAAATATATTTAGCATGAGAGAAATTATTTAACGATGAGTCAATAAATGTAACGTATAAATAATTCAGTGAGTTATAAGATAATGATAAGACAAAAACTGTAAATGAAGCTATTTATATACACATACATATGTTATTCGTTCCATGCGACTAGCCCGTTCGACATGAATTCAAAATTAGATCGCATGCGAATATAAAACTTGCTTCTTTGTGACATAACAAGTTGCTTTATATTTCGTGATTGTCAATAAAAATAGCAGTGACATGTCGCTGCTCTTAAGTTAAGATTCCATAACATGGGGCCGTCGACCTTAGTCCAGATATCCGGATAACCTCCGATTTTTAAAGTAAAAAAGTAGAAATAAGAATTTATTTTGACTCTATGAACTATATGACAGAAAAGGAACTAAAATAATATGAAAATTATTCTTTTGTATTTAATCGTATTGGAAAATTGATAGAAAAGTAAACAAAACGAAGAAACTATTGAGCAAATGAAAGTAATATTATAATATTAAAAAGGATAATACAAAGTGTGCGTTGTACTGTAAAACTCTTTGCGATTCATTCCACATAATGTAATGGTTTGGCTGCTCCCTATCGTTTAACTTCAACGAAAGAAGTCATACGATGATCAAAGTACATTTTTTAGCAGAGTCAGAGACACAACAAACTTTTCCATTACTTCATATAAAGAGTATATATATATTTATCTTTTTTAATTATCAGTCAAGATAATTTATCAATGCAGTTTTTCATTATCTCTTTCTCTACACATTATAAATTTTAATCTTCTAAACTTTAAAATGTTTTACCGCGTATTTTTAAATGATCCTTGTATAATTAGCATTTCTCACGTTTAATATTTTAAGCAACTTTTAAATTTAGTGACTAATATAATCACACACAGATTAAATGTCACTACAAACATACAATTTTGTGTGATTAACAACTGCAGTTTATATTCTCGTAACATTCCGCATGCATGCGAGATTAAATACAATTTGTTGTAAACGATTCATGATAATTTCGATATAATAATCGTACATTACAGCAGACAAGAGAACCGATTGTACGGCAATTCTTTTTTCTATGCAATTATACGATACTAATTGCTTCCGTGACAAATGTTGATTAGTTTTCAAGGTCCTGTATACATGAAAGCAAGTTTTAATTTGAAAGCATTTAAATCGCTATATTTTCATCGTTAATCGATAGAATAAAAATGTGTAAGAAAAAGTTCGAATTGTGTCCAATGATTATTCACCTTACTAGTTTCTTCGATTTACTTTGACATAATATTAAATTCTAATTTTATCTATCGGTTTCGTAATAAAAAAATTATAGATATTCTTCTTCAGAAAAGATACGGCAGTAATTTCTGATATTTTAATATATACATTTGTATACATGTATATATTTCGAATCTACGAATATATTTCAGTATGAGATCAAGGGTTCACGGATTTCTTCATTCGTTCTGACTACAATGTTTTTAGCGATGGGCAGTGAGAGATTGCTTTGTCGATATGAGTAACAGATTGCGTCGGGGATTTCACTTTTCCTGACTATTGTATTTCCAGATACAATTTTTCACACTCGCCCACTTTTGCGTCTTATTAGGTGCCACATTCATGATGAAACGGAATAGCACGTGTTTATCTACCCCATTCGAGATAAGAAACATTGTAGTTGCGAGAATAACATTCTCTTACATATTGAACGAGACATGATTTGTGTTTTGCATATATATATATATATATGCCGGTTATATATATATATTCATTAAGCGATAGCGCGGATAAGATTTGATTATTATAAAACCGCCGGTTATATATATATATTATAATAATCAAATCTTATTCGCGCTACCGTTTAATGAATAAACGTTAAATTAATGATAAATAAAGATTGCAACACAATATTGTTATCTCTTACGTAAACGCAGAATGTATTTAAATATTATTTTACTGAAATAAAGGTTAATATATTTATGTTATTAATAAAATATATATATATATATATATATATAATAAAAATATTACTTTAGATTATTACTGTAACAAAATTTATTTTCTTATTATAGCAATGTAATGACTTTGCGTGCTCTTTAATATATCTATAAAGATTATGTTATAGAGATTATCAGCATTTATGACGCTGGTAACAAAAATTCGGCAGATAAAATCCAAATCATATTATTATTAAGCCGTATCGCGTGATAAATAGTTCTTTGACGTGAATAAAAATTTATGAACTTTATTTTCTGATCCAGATCTATATAAACACGAAAATTTGATAGATATCGGACATCGTTATTTGCAAAGACTGCGTATTTCAGTACGAAAGATCATTTAGCGAGGATATATTTGTACGACGATTATTGCGGCATATACGATTAGACTTTCGACTCATCGCTATCGATTAACTCTGGTGGTATACTGGCCTTTATCGTCCTAGCGTGTGAAAACAAACTCAGAGTCGATATACAAGGTTGTAGAATTGTGTTCCGCGGTTATCTCAATTCTGCTAAGTAAACGCTGATCGATAATTAACGAGGACGCATTAATTACGCTTGGCAGAAGAAAATATATATTTTTTTGACATATATATCTCCTCTAAAACACATCGTACAATTATTGACATTGATTGATATTGCAAAAATTGCTGGATTATAAATTTTGCAAGATGTGATTAGACATTAGAAATATTACGTTCTGGATATAGATACATATATTTATTATTAGTCGAAAATAAAATTAAGCCGTCGAAAACAAAAACTGTGTCAAGCAAATTGATATGTCACAAAGATTTGCGAAAAAAACAAATTTAAAAAATGTTTCTCTTTATAATATAATTTTTAATATTTAATATTCTTTTCATAGACTTTTGTTGCAACCTGTACATTAGGTGGTTTGATGCGATAATTGCATAATATCAGGATAAGTTAAATAAACAAGTTTTTTCTTCTTCATAAATATTATTTTTACTTCTAACGGAAATGAAAAAACTCGCTTATCGCTAGAGGTTAAAATATGACTTTTGCATTCTTGCTATTCATTAATATACACACATCATCGATACCATGCGATTCCGTAGCTATTTAAGTGCAAACTTGCAGACATTGCAGACTGGATCACTTGTTGTATTAAAAAGCAATGACGTCAAAATCTTACTAACATTCTTAAAGAACATGCAAGTGCGCATATGTTTTATAATCATCCGCGATAAAAAGAACGATAATAAAACGTTGCTAATTACGATAGATTTTGCATGCAAAATAAATTTACACAGAAGGAAAATTATTAATCTGCAGGATGTTAAAGCGTATAATATTCGCGTATCGAATTTGCTAAAATCATATGTGTGTCATTTGACGTAGTAATAAATCATTTATATCCAGCTTTATCTTCAATTAATATCAAGATTTATCAATTTTCATTCATAAAAATGTGTGTCTCGTAAAATAAAATTTCAATAATTATTTTGGCCTGCTCATCTCGCAGAGTAATATAATTTTTACGAACTTTTTTCTGCGTACAAAGTCGAATGATCGAGTAGGGCTCAATAAATAATGACTAAAGTCGATCCTCGGAACTCGGACAATGAGACGGACAAAGAAATTGCGGCGACTTATTGTCAGTTTGCATGCACGGATCATTAGTCAATTTGCGTCGGCTAACATTTAACTTACGCTCGCGCGCGTTTATCGGTCTAATAGGCAGATTATACCGGCTAATTGCCGCGTAATCTCCTGGCGGCGTTCCCGCCAAAATTAGCCGATTGTATGCAGATTAAAGCTTCGTTAGTAAGGGCGAACGATCGGGCGGCGATTAGCGCAACAAATGTGTCGCGCGAATGAAGAAATTGCTATTTCTTCTTAAGCATCACATCCATCTTCCTTAGGCGAGTTTCGAGCTGTCAATGTTAACGATTGATCCGCGGCAGCTGCTGGGATTTGATTTATTGACGTATATCTGCGGCGAGTTAAAATTATCACGTTATTTTAATGATTCACTCGAGAACCGGGATTACGTGTTCCGCATCGGATGTGTCTAATTACGACACTTCTTAGAATTAGAAATATAAATCAACCGTGTCGGTCGTTTACGCGAATTGAATAAATATTCAATAATTATCGAGCACTCAGAATTACGGGTAAAATCGGTTTGATGTAAAGTCTGTTTGATGAATAAATAAATTTTTCTTCGAATTTATTTCTCAACGGCAATATATGTATCCAGTTTCTACGATGTTCTCATCTTCGCGTTGGAATAAATAAATTATAATAGAAAAAGGCAACGGTGCGTTTCCGGTTTAGAGCGTATAAAATAGGATAATAGGTGCTAAGAATTTTGTAGATATAGTGAGAGATTATGAAGCATACAGAACTAAATTGCATGCAATTAATTCAACGAAACTATACTTGGATGCACCGCATATATACATCTTATCGCGAACAGATAGTGTTTCTATCGCAATACGCGAAGATATAACAGCACTTTGAAATGTTATATAAGCCATTGCTTTTTCTCTAAAAATATATATTTGTCTGCTTTTATCAAACGCGATATTCATTCCCTATCACCGGATAAGTATTATCGACAGGTTTTGAAAGTAGAGTTGTCGACTGCTAAATCCCTTCCTGTCTTTCACAATATTCACGATAAAACTCAAATATTTTATCGCTGACCTGTGACCTATGATGTTGGGCAAAATGTACTCGCGAACAACAAATAACAATTTTAAATATGAGATCAGCGAATATAAAATGTATCGTTCAACTCTGTCTACGAGATTTCATCATATACAATATAATAATTACATAAGACATAAGCGATAAATGGCAATTAACATTTTTAAATATATGCGATGGAATGTCGATTAGATATGATACAATTGATATTGATAAATTTATCGCTTAAAAGAAGACTTATGAAAACTTTATTTATTCTTTTTTATTATTTAGCCGGAGAAAATCACCTAAACGAATAAATCATTTTCCTTTTTACAATGAAAATCGATGCATTTGTTAATGTTTTACACAAAGAATTATTGTTATTAATTTATGCTTCTACAATATTCACAGAACGTTCTTTGCAACAATGCGTCATAAAAAATTCAGCCTCAATCGAGATTAACATTCTTAATTTTTATATCGTTATTTAAAAATATACTGTTCTCGATGTAATATATTTGCAGCTATTGTTTTTAATAAAATTGAGATAGAAACATACTTTCGTATAAAAGTCGTATCTACATTTTGCAGTTGGAATTTTTCGCGACATTATTTTTCCGCTATAATCATCCGACGTCATGTAACGAAGAAAATTGAGCGATAAATCCGATAATCGAATTGATATAAACGTGAATCTTTATGATTCGTTTGTCGTTTCCATCGAGACTTTAATTGTATCAATCTGTCAACAAATTTGCTATTTATGAAATAATCTCTGTTATACGCAAACATATATAGACATTGGTGTCGATCACTGGATTACTTTCACTGACTACGCGAGAGAACAGTCCTATCAGAAAGTTTATTTCCTAACAAACATACGAGTCACAGAAAATCATAAATATATATATATAACTCTGAAGTATTCGTTACGTTGTGCCGATCGACATTTTAATTTAGTTTTAAAATTTTTGCTCGTGTCATTATTGGACAACTTGCTTAACGTAGTTAAAAGACTCGTAAAAACTGCAATTAAAATTTTTATATCAAATTGACTAAAGAGAGGCCAATATTGACGCAACTAAGTACATAGTTGTTAGTATGTGGATATTTTTCTCACAATATATACCATCTAGAAGTTAATCATAAATTATAACGATGCCATAAAGCGTGCAAATGCAACCACAAGTTTTTATCGCGTCGCGTGTATATCGTGCGATAAAAGAACTAGTTGCTTTAATCGCGAAAAGAAAAAAAGAAAGATCGTCTTATTAAATAGTGTTTATAGGCTATCATCTGGCGAAGGTTCTCCCGTATTGAAAGAGCAATTTTCCACGCGTGTGTTTCGAGAGACTAGAATGATATAATAAAATGCCGATGGGGAAAAGTTTGAGTACAAAAGCAATATAAGTTGATATAATTTACAAAATCTATTTTAAATTGTATTTTTATATTTAAAATAGATCTCATAAATTTTATATATATATATAATGTTGCAATTTTAAAAAATCGCATAAAATGTTAAAGCATAATTCCGATATCGTCATATTTCAAAAGAAATATACTTCTTAAAAGCACAATAAGTTTCTCGAGAAGTATAGTATTAGTAATATTTAAAGTTATTTCATACGCTGCGCAACTCGCCAGATAATCAGCCGACTTAATGATCTATTATTTGCGCCCGAGGCAAAGTAAGTGTTTGCGCGAATGAACAAATTGTGAACATAGATCCGGTTTTTATCGATGGACAGTCAAGTTACGTACGTCGTTTATCGGTGTCTTGTGCATGTATTACGGCGTGCGTCGACCTTGCCGGAATGGCGAAATACATATGGTACATATGTTGTATCTACCTTCTCGTGAAAGTTATTCTGCCGGTGGCAGCCGCGGACTGTGCACGTTTGTTCGACGTAGCGTGGCAAAATGTGGCGGAATCGCCGTAAAGCGAGAGGCAAGTAATGCAACCGCGTCGAGAGGATCGCGTATCCTTTTGACATTATCGCGCGACCGCGCCGTAAAGTCGCGGCAAAGACAGCTGTCTTTGCAGGGAAAATCGAGAGCTTCGTTCCTGAAACGTGATCCATAAATAGTGACACATTTCGGAGCAAAATGCTCCGATATTTTTCGAAGCGGAGTAGTAGCAAGAGCGAGAATAGAGAGAAATGTGCGAACTCGAAAGTTGCGTCTTGCGGTTAAAAATTTAAATAATAGGATTTTGCGGGCGAGAGAGACAGAGATGTATACACGGTATTGGTTCTTTATCGAGGAAATGCTTTCCAGGATTAAAAAGATTGGTGGAAGGAGAGGGTACCATGAAGAGCACTCTTCTCGCCGGACTAGCGGAACTGATTGGCACATCCATCTTGGTGTTCGTGGGATGTATGGGCTGCGTTGGCAGCCTCGGAGTCGTGCCTCCTCATCTACAGATAACGCTAACCTTCGGATTAACGGTTATGGTTGTGATCCAGGTTAGTAGGTGGTCGGAAGCCTTTAGTTAGCTTTCTGACCGCTCTATATTATCATAAGATAACTCTTCGTATCTACTTCAAATTATGACTTCGCGAATCGCCATTTTATGTAAGCCCGGGCATTACTCTTGCACGCGCGCGAATCTATTTTCCTCCTTCGAGAATTTCCTTAATCAGAATTATATAATATATTCGCAGTTAACTTTTAATATATAATTGCGCGATTTATCCCACGTGTTATATTACAGCAAAATTGCGCGTTTAATATATTATCGTAATTCGTGTTATAATGAAATTAAATCTTCACATGTTTTATCGTGTTATATTATGCAGAGTAAGAAGCTTGAAGCTTATTAAGATATTCTGAATAAACAGCGATAATTATGTGTGTACAACAAGGTCGTTCAACATGATTTTCGCGATATTCCTACACGTGCAATTTCCGGTAATTAAGTAACACACCGGTGAAGCTCAACTGATTCGAGTCATTATAATTTGGCGCGACGCAGAGGGAGAGAGAGAAAGAGAGATAGATTTATTTATTTTCGTAACTTATTCATAATAATGGAAAAACGATAATTGGCGTGCGATATATTTTCCCATAACATGAAAAATTAAACTTATCGATATTATTAATCTCGTTTATGCGTGTTTTTGATTAAGGTTATTGTTCATTTATTTATTATACATAACTCACGAATTTTGTAATATTGCGTATTACAAGCGCGTTTTATCTCTTTTATATGTCGCCCCTTCATAAACAGGACGGTAAAAGGCGGCGCGAAATCGTGCCGCGGTTCGTTAACGAATACTCGAATTTTCTAATGCAACATAGTGCACATTTCATTAGCTTTCATTCACCTTGCCTCGTAATTTGTATCCGTGTCACGGTAATTTGGAATTTGTTACGATGCGCTCGTTAATAAAGCGCAACGTCAAAGTCAGCATGTTATCAATTATTAAAAATATTCTCTTTGATTTTCTGTTTTCACAGTGCATTGCTCATCTCAGTCAAGCTCATATTAATCCAGCAATTACTGTAGGAGCCGTTGTTCTGGGAAAAAAAACTATTATAGAGGCCGTAGTTTACATTATTTCTCAGTTCATAGGTGCGATTCTGGGTTACGGTATGTTAAAGGTTAGTATGAGAAAAAAAGTATATCCTTCTTTTTATTTTCCCCATTAAATAATTAATTTCAATTAATTTCTATGCAAAAATGGAATAATAAATAATCCGTCGAATAGTCGTAAGAAAATTATGTAAGATTAAATAAAATTTTTATTTCACAGGGCATATATTATGCAATTATGCAATTATTTTCAAAAGCATTTTTGTTTAAAATAATTCTGTATGTTAAAAACTCGGTAATACTAGAAAAATTATAAAATTTGCAATGTGCTCAAAAGTTAACATTTAAAATCATATAAATTTTCTATGTTTCTTACAGTAGTGATTAGATTTTAATTACAAATAAAATTAATAACACAGTATAATAATTAAAACATGATTATGTAATAAAATATAACCGGGCGATTAAATCATCGCCGAGTTTAAATATAGAAATGAAAGATACTTTCTAGTTTTGTTGAGGCACACACATAAAGTAACGACCTTCGACGTATTCGTCGTCGTCATAATTTAAGTTATATGTACATGTATCGTTGGAAACTATATACACGCGAAATGTGAGTTTTATTAGCAAACTAATTAGCATTTCGCTTTTTGATGATATCTTAATAAACGGAAAATGATTATTGAGCAAGATATAGACAGATGAACAATTTTTATCGAGCTTCAGAGTGAGACAGAAATAAATCAAGAAATATTTTCAATTGGTTTATATCAACGAGTAATTCGGCACACGTGTTACCTAATTAATAATTTCTGCTTTTGTGATCAGAAAAAGCCTTACTGTCGTATCTTACTGTATCTGTTTTTTGTATATCGACGCAACAACAGATAAGACGAATAGAATGAATAATAATATAATTGCTCCTTTTTCCTATATTAAAAAAATAAATTGAAAAATGCTTCAGAGTTTATCGATCACGAAAAATATAGAACAAAGTTCTCAATATTCATTATGGAAACACGTCACATAAAAAAAAACTAATAATTCCGGTAAAAGACAACAGGGAAACTATTCTAATATAACAGTATAAAGCAAAAGAATATTGCATAAATAATGCTTCGTATTTCATATTTCATATTTTTAAACTGTGCTTTTGTGAATGTTTTTCTTTTGTTATGACGGTTATTCAATCGTGTAATCTGCAATTTATATAATGTAATGTAATTTTACAAGCCCCGTTACAAATATAAATGAATGCTACGTTTAAAATTTTTATCGAAATATCCGCTTTCTCATAAACAATATTTGATTTTATTTTAATTATGCGCGCGTTTTTGTACGATAAGATATGAATAAGAACCGACATTATTAATTCAGCTTTCGCTTTTGCTCCGTGATAAAATTCAATTCAGCTTTACCTTATCCGCAATAAAATCCGTTATTCCGTTTTATGCAATAAGCAGAAAAGAAAAACGCGACAATATAGATTTAATCACGTCCCAGAACTCTGTTTACAAAAATGTTGTCTCAAACTGATTTAAATACTCAAAACGTTCTTTACAGGTAGTGACACCGAGAGATCGCTTGACATCCGGTACTGTCGAGCAGTCGGACTCATTTTGCGTGACCGGTCTGCACCCTGATCTGTCCGGGATCCAAGGTCTGATTCTCGAGGGGATCGCCACTTCTATCCTGATGCTGGTATTCTGTTCCGTGGTGGACCAGAGAAACGAGAAAAACACGGATTCGATAGCGATCAAGTTCGGTCTTGCGGTAGCCGTGCTGGCAACAGCACTCGGACCTTACACCGGAGCCAGCATGAACCCGGTTAGGTCATTCGCGCCCGCGTTATGGAACAATCAGTGGTCGCATCAATGGGTCTACTGGTTCGGCCCGATTGGCGGGGCCTTAATCGCCTCGTTCGCGTACAGAACCATTTTCGGACTTCGCGAACAGATTCCCGAAGACGAAGAGCCCACCGCCGAAGTGGTTGCGCTCAACAGCGTGGAGGCCCACAAAACCGAGGTAAGATGATATTGAATTTGTAAGAAAGAAAATCTAAGATAACACGTCGATTCGATTTTTCCATCACGGTAAAGTAGTTGAATCAATGTGTAAACGAGAAAACGTGGAATAATTTGTTTAAAATGTTAGGCACGCTGAAAAAAATTTATTGAATTCAAATAAGTGTATTTATTTCAATACTGCCTAATGAATTGTTTATTTGAAGCTAATAATATTGATTTGATATGAAAAATATTTATTTGATATAATAAAATATTTTTCGAAACAAATAAAATATTTATTTATTTCAAATAAATGATTTATTTGGGAGTATTCAAATAAATATTTATTAATTTAATCATTTTTTTTCAGTGTACATGTACAAGGTGTATAGATAAATAAGTGCAAATAATTTTAAGAGATGATTCTTTGTCGGAAAATAACGGGGGTTTCTTATATAAACACATACTCTATATCCCTCCCTGAGAAGTTATACTTTTCTAAAGAGGGAGGTAATAATTAAGTTTTTATTTTTTCTCAAATTTTAGACAAATTAAAAAATGAAACTTATTGGAAATTAAATGTTTTTTAAATCGTCTAAAATTTGAGAAAAAAATTTATGTAAGAATCCTTCTTTAATTTTCGACAAAAACTCATCTAAAATTTTTCGCACTTATTTAGATACATTCTGTATAATCAATTAATTTTTCCAAGATCAGAGAAAAGAATGCTTTGAAAATGAATTCAAATAACATTCAAAGAGAACTTTCATTGCGATGTTAAAATATGTATCACATGACAAAGTGCTTATTAATATATAGTATGTAATAATATAAATATTACAGAGAAGTAAATTAATTCGTTAAATTGCATTTGTCATTATTAATATCACAGTTGTCATTATATTTATCGCTTGAAAAATTGTTCGTGCATATTTAAACAGTCACATGTTGCAAATAAAAAATGTATTTTAATATGAAATATCGAAACCACTTGTGTATGTACGCAATTAGTTAAATTCGATATTAGTTAGTCTCTCGAATAAAATTCGTTCACGCCGATAGAAATGATAATTTGCACGCAACTTACCTCCAGTATTTAAAGCAAAAACTTGAGAGATAATGAAAATCACATATAAAGTTTAACATTATAACGACATAAAAGTTACAAAATGCGTGCGAATCTCTCGTGTAAGAGGAACTGCGTCTCACGTTCCAGCAATAATTCTCGTTAACGACATTTCGGCAAAATTAACGGCCATCTTTGTGCGACTTTTAACGACCCTTTAAAATACGGGAAGGACGAGGCTCACGTGGTTTTATCATGTAAACGCCATACCCGCCATGCATCAGGGCACTTCGTATGATGCGGATTATCTTGTAAGGGCCAGCCGTAAAGGTCGACGATAAATCGCTAGGTGGGCAAGGAAGTTCAGTAAAACTGGTTTTACGAGACTTACTACGTTACTAGGAAGCTGGATTTAATGTCGTCGGTTTACCCTTCGATTGTCGCGAGCTCAAAAATGGATATAGAAAAAAGTCATCCGTCCCGACGATATTGTATTTTATTCTATGTACGTATCTCTCATATTTCACCATCATCGTGAGATTGCAATTTTCATTCGATTACAATCAACTAAAAGCTTTCTTAAAAATCATCTAGTTTGGAGCGAAAAAGCGCGATTCAAGTATTATAAAAGCACGATGCGAGAATATTAAGACAGTTTTCAAAAATTTATATGTTTTTGTCTCTTATATCTTTGCGGGGTTCAATGAATCGTTATATATTCGTGATCCTAAATAACTATTTAATTGAGAATTCCAATTTTTCATTATTTTCCACAAAATGAGACGATTCGCACATCCCTATAAATCAATTTCTCACTCACCGATCACCGATGCGTCCGATAGCGGAGTTGTAGACAGCACATTGATCTGAAAACAAAATATTCAAATTATGTATATACGTGTGTGTATGTATATACGTAATTTTAAAAGTCTGGGAACGATCGAGTATCTAATACAAGGCAATTTAGACAAAAATATTTTTATTTTGCATACCTCATAGTTGCCCCGCTGTCGCCTGATGCCTCCACAGGCCTCCTCCTCCTCTCTTGGTCCTTTGTAGCACTCACGAAACTTGCGAAAACGCAAATAATTACGATTGCCCGACACTTTACACGGCACTCGCGACGCGCGGAACTTTATACGGCACTCGCGACGCGCGGAACTTTACACGGCACTCCCGATACGTAAAATTTTACACGGCACTCCCGATACGTGAATCGTACTGTGTATCGCTATTTGTTACCTGTAACAAATAAAATATATGCATATGTATATTAGAATAATCTTATTATTTTGCATTATGACATACACAATATCAATATGTATGCTAGAATTAAAATGATAAATATGCTATTTGTTTAAACTATCAAGAACTCTACAAAATTATAGAACTATTGAAAATAAAGTCAGAACTCTGAATTATTGATGATATATGTATTAACTTCACACACACCATATATTCCTCGCTAAACAATGCACGTTAAAATATTTTTTCAATTTTTATGTATGCGAAAAATTGTCTGAATGATCTTGAGAGAAAATTAATTTCATCTACATTGCAATTAAAAATGTTATTCTAATTAGAAAGTTTCGAACAGAAATATATATATATATATAATTTCCATTCGTTTTAATTAAAATGTAATAGATTATACTAGACCAATATTAATTGCGAGTCACTATTAACCGCAATGCAGAGTGCGGGATGTATAGCCGTTAATTCAGCCAATCCTATAATTATTAATCCTCAAACATCCTCATTTTCCACGCGGCATTTCCGCCTGCAAAATATATTTCCGTCATTCGTGATTTTCGATTCAATGCACACCGAAATTAATCAATATTTCCGCATTCTTTTTTTCAGCAGTCTTAATTTCGAAATGAACACGACCAAAGTGACAGGTGATAAAAGAAGAAATTAAAATTCAGTCGACCTTTTTTCAACACAAAGAAAGCCTTCAAACATCTGGGAGAAGATAGATACTTTTAAGACATATTCAATGACGCATTCAATGACGGGTCGGTTCGAATAGTCAAAATCGTCGAAAGAAGTTTGGAAGCTCGACCCTCGACTCACGTGAAAATGTACTCAAAGAGAATTTCCGGAATCATCATCACAGGATGACGTAGCCGTAATCACATGCGCATATCCTACAATCGCAAGTCACGCTCGGTTTGCCAGTGTTAACTTTACAAATGCGATCGTTTGTTATCACCGTTGTTATCTTTTTTTCAACAATCCAATTTGAATTAAAATCGATAAAGCAGACTTCCGCATTCTATTATCGAGTCTGAATATCTAATTAAGTATATCCATGCTCGTGTGTTATCAGAAATTTTAGATTATTGGCTAAAAACTCTCGCACGTGTGTGAAAACATCTAGAGAGTGTAAACTCGCAATCTCGCGATCAAACGTCAATTGAAACGTCAAATAAAATGTGAAATTAATTTCGAATAAATCTGTTGTGCCACTTTCTCTCTGTAATATAGTGTACATTCTGCTATAAAATACGTCGATCATTTCTACAAGTTTATTATATGTATGTATATAATTTTTTTCTCTTCATCTTTGCTTATACGTACGTTAGAGATTTACGATTCGATGAGAATATATAAATGTGGTGAATAAACAATTTGAAAAATGTATACCTAGTCTTACACACAACGATGACACTTATATGTTAACGCTTTCATTTTTAGTTTGATAATAAATCAAATTTCATGAAAGTTAATATAATGTATAATTTTATATCTTCATTCTCTTCGATTCGTACGCTTTTGCATGATTTTAATATAGTTATTGTAATCCAATATTACATAATACTCTTACGCTTGATTAACTTTACTTTTACGTTATTCGTCTCGTTTACAGATAGAGCGAACTGTTTTGTACTCGCGTTTGTTAGCCGTTCGATTTCATCGCCGGAAGCGGAAATGTCGATTCCCCGAGCGACGAAAGAGCCGCGACCGATGACTCTTTACGTATCTATTTTTGTTACATATATGGTCATTTCTATAGTTACGCATATATAGGTACTTGCTCGAAGCTATGACGGGAGAGAAGCGTCTCGTTCGTTCAAAAAAAAGTCTCTCTTTGGTGAGGCAGCTTTTCATAGTTTTCGAGCATTTCCAAACAAATAACGTTTCACCATTTATAAGTTTTATCAACAGACGCACAAATATACAAAATATAAAAAATAGTACATTTTTATTAATTATTTGTTCATCCAAAAATATTCCGTTATACTATATTTCCTGCAAGACGAACGATCCGTTTTTTAATTATACAACGGAAAACAATCCGGAAAAAATATCATCAAAGAATTGATATGTTGTATTTTATTTCTTAGGTTTATACTCTTTAAATATAAAATCTAATCGCTACTTATGTAATTCATTAAAAGATTAAACTTTTAGTTAGGCTCTAATCTTTTAATTCATTTTATAATATTTTTTGTGAATAGAATAATCAATAATTGTATGTATGTAAAAAAAACATTTCTGCGATTGTAATAAAATATGTTGTGCTTATGGAGGATATTTAATGTTTGTAACATATTTCCTCTATTTCTTTATTATTTCAATTTATTTTTATTATTTCAGTCTTCATTATTTTAATTATCTTTTTAATTTTATTTTTAATAAAATTAAATAATGAGATATTCTGTTAATATATAAACTTGCGGCTCTATATATTCTGTTATTGCAATAGATTAAAATAAACTATATAGTAAGACTTATATTAAGACTCAAATGAGATTCATATTTAAATTTGAATAGGTGACAGAACCAAACGTGATTGATTTTTAGTGTTCCAATTTTGTTGAAATTAATTTTTCAAAAAATTCAATAGTGTGCTCAAGGCAAAAATATTTATATAGATACAGTATCACGAAAATAATTCTCATATCGAGAATATTTAATTTTTGAAAATTTTCCCAATTTCAGATATTTATTAATATATCTAATGATTAAAACTATAAAATGAAAGAATGAAAATATAAAGGTTGAAAATATAAGAAAATATAAATAGAATTCTGCGTTTAAAAATAAAAAAAAACGATTTTGTTAATATTAAATTTACGTTCTCGACAATAGATTACTAATTTGATGAATTTGAAACTATTCGATAAATTTCTCGGATTAAGAATTATGAAAAATTAAACATTCTATTTTCAATAATTCCGTAAATAACTAACAAAAATGTTTGCCTTGAGTACTCTATTGAGTTTATGAAAAATTAATTTTAACGAAACGGACGCACTAACATCCGCACTCTCGCCTACTCAAATTTAAATTAAAAAAAAAAAAATTCTAATAATCCTCGCATGCGCATTTTAATTGAGTTTTATCCTCGTAGCGCAATATAAATGAAAATACGTAAATAAAAATAACTTTGATTGAGAAGGATTGAGCGAGTGTCATCGAAAAAAATATGACGTACGTGAAAAGTGTAACTTTTTGATTTTACCCCTTGCCGCAGGCTGCCTGCGCTGTCAAAATTTTGTAACTCGTTCGCGAATCTACGCTGCTGGTCCCGATCGCGTCAGGATACAAACACTTCATCAATTTGTTCAAAACGATAAAAATATGACAGAGACTAAAACAGCGTCATTTCTTTTTCTTTTTTTGTACATTTTAATTGTTATACATTAATCGGTCATCGATTGCAGAACTGTTTGTGCACAATATTTGTAGTGTCGCGTGTTTAAAATTATAGTCCACAAATCACGTGTAATTGTCTCTGAATATGCGTGTGATCATTAATACCACACTTTGACTTTGACATATTGCAGCGTATATTGTGGAAATTGCAACAAGATTGTAGAATATTTATAATTTCGTTCCTCTCATAATATATTGTATATTCTCGTCTATCTTCATAAGCTGCTATGTATATATGTAAATTTATGCATTTTAATGTACAAATGAATGACAAGTATAGAAATAAAATTTCGTAAATATATCATTAAATTTTACAGATTTATAATTTTAAAATATTTTTTACAGATTTATAATTTTAAAATATTTTTAGAGCAACGATATTAAAACAATTACGTAAAGCTAAGAAAAATGCCCGAAAAATTCAACTTTCTTCGCGTCTATTTGGAAAAGTAACGTACTGGGTCAACTAGGTATGAAATCGCCACGAATTAGAAAAAGAAATATCAACGAGTCTTGTTGAAGAAATTGATTTGGGCGCAAAAAGGGGCGTGTTACCACGGTGGTAATGGTGACGCGTCCCGAATAACTTTCCAACTCTCTCTCCCATTCAGCACCGTTTCTGCGTTTGCAACGTGTCGCCTGGCGCGCCAGCCGTTCGTGACTGGCTCGTACTCGGGGTTTGCTGCAGTACAGGCGCATCTGTCAGATGCCTTACTCCCCTTCTTCCGCGAATATTGGAAACTGGGATATGCCATTGCATTTTCGTTACATGTTCTAACAATGCTCTTGAGAAATTTTCGCAAGAGTTATCCGAAGAAAAAAGTTATACAATATATGGTCAGGTTTGATGACGTTTTATCAAAATATCACATCGTTGACAGATATTTCGTATTCAATTAAATATTAGCGTGAAACATATATTATAGCTATCCAGGTGAGTGAATAAAACAATTAGTTAAACAATCCTATACCATAGTAGTAATATTTTCGGAATGTATGAATGTGTGGGATTAAAATGTGATATTCGATTTTTAATAAGGAAAGTGCAAGACGCGATAAAAAAATTGTATTTTTTAATTAATTCTATTCGTCGAGGGGGTAAATGCAAATGTGACAATGCGGAAGCATCTTATATATGTAACGTTGCATTTTTTTGTGCAAGTGGGTCTCGCGGGAACGATAACTCGTGATGTAGTGCAAAAATTAGACAAGAACGGGGGTTTGCTTAAGCAGAAATGGAAGAGCGGTCTGAGAAAAAAAAAGAATATAAAACACGATAAAAGAATTCAAGACTAAGAAGAGAATAAGAAGGCAAGACAAGGAAGCAAGAGGAGATTGCTCGCGCGAGCGAAACTACATCCGGATGACGTCTTCCGCGCGTTTGGGACACATTTTTCCTTTACGGAAAAGAAAAGTAATATTTCCGTATGATTTACATGCCGGGCGGCAGGTCGCTCGTTAATAATTCAATTTTCAATCTGGTCTTAATGCTCGCCGGGCTTTCCCCAACTTCCATCCCTTGCGTCTCTCTTTCTTGCTCCCATCCCTTTACGTTTTCGTGCCACCGTCGCCGGTTCCGCTCGGTGTCTTTCTTTTTTTTTTATTTCTTTTTTATTTTTCTCCTTTTATTCTCCTCAGCACTTATCCCGCCGTGTCGACGTCCAGATAAGGGCGAAATAAGTACGGCGAGCGCGAATAAATTTTTACATCGCCGTCCAAGTTCGTCCTGTACTTTTCGCGTTCGCGCGTCTCGTAATCAAAAGCGGCAAAGGAAGAAAAAAAAAGAAGAAAATAGGTTGAGATATCTCTCTTTGAAAAATTAATGAAAATTTCATTGTCGTGACGCGAGAACGAGGATATCCGGCAGGAAGCGGACAGAGAGAGTCCTTCAAGGTCGAACGGTGAGTGAATTAAGCGGTCGAGGTTGGGTGCTAATTAAAGCATGGTTTGGCGTCTCGAGTTGCCGCGCGGGATTGGTTGATTCGATTAACTATAGGCGAAGTTTCACGTCCCTTACACGTTACTATATGGTCTAATATCCAAATAAATCGCCACCGATGCATTACAAAGTGTTATGCGATCTATAAACGCTCGAATGAGCTGTATCCGCCCTGTATTCTACCGCAATATTTCGTAATTAACCAATTAAAACTTTGGTCGCGCAAATGATATAGAACAAAATTTGCATTAATCATTGCAGAAAAGAATGCGTAAATGTAAGAAATATTTTAGAGGTAAAAAAAAGAAAGAAAATTTGTCAATGTTACATTAATTTTTTTCTCAAGTTATTACAAATGCAATCTTGTTCATTATATACTTTTAAATTTGACAAAGTTTCTTCGAGAAGAGAAAAGTAATTTTGAAAAATAAAAATCAGAATAATAATTAATATATAATAAAAAAATGTATAATAATTGGTTTTCTAGATACACTTGTAAAAGACATATATTCTTTCTGAAATGATTCAAGTCTTCAATAATAATTTTGTTTAACTTATCTTTGAAACTCATATTAAAATTTTGTTTTGTCCACAATATTCTTTGGATAAAATTGAATTATCTTCCTAATTATTCTTCTCTCTAGGAGAAATCTGAAATAACTTTCCTAACAGCATATAAATTAATTTGTTCGAAATTATTTTTATATTTCATTAAGTGTGCAAACTTTGTTACAAAATTACAGATCACAAGAGTTGTTTATACGCATAACTGTAAACTTTGCTTTATTTTGTCCAAAGTTCAAAGTTACGATACTTGAAAGTATCGCACACACATATAATGAAAATAATTACAAATTGGTAATTTTGTTACACGGAGAGAAATTTCTCTTGGAATTTATCCTGAAAATCATGATAATCGTAAAACAATCTAAGGTATTGGAAGAATTTATAAGAGCTTCTCTGATAAATATTTGCCATAATAAAAAATATTAATATGTACATAGTAAAATTAATGAAACATATTTTATATCTTATTGTGATGAATATTAATCAGAAAAAACTCATAAAATTTTTCCAATTATATTGTCCCACGATTACCATGATATTTTCAGGGTCAGTTCTAAAAGAAAATTCTCTGTGTACAGATTGTAGAGATGAACATGAATACATCTCAATTAATTATCTCTGTAATTAGCAAAATAAAAGTACAGCGCGAGTACTCGTGCGAACGAATAAACGCATCAATATTCTCGTAAACTTTGCTATAAAAGTAGACGGCAGCAGCCTCAGGCGGCGTGCACATTACATTCCTTTAATCCGTTTACTTGTTCCACTTTTCCTGAGTAATGCAGTTTCATAATTACACGAGTAAGTGTATACGAACTTCAAGAGCGCATGTAAAAAAATGTTGCACGCGCCTGTGATTATCGTCACTTCGCGATTAAATATATGCATATATATGATTAAGAGAATTATTTTCCTTTACGATATTGCGTTTTATCTCTCTTCGTTGACTTGAAGAGAAAAAATATATCATACTATGATGTCATTTAATATTGCTTCATTTAGAATTCTAAACGAAACGTGGTACGAAAGACACGTGGTAAAAGAACAAAGTATACATATTTTATAATAAAAAGTGATTGATATATCGATGAGAAAAACATGTTTACAAAAAAAAATAATAGCAAGAATTTTTATGTTAAAAATAATGTTAAAAATTATGCTAATTATGTATAAACATGATGCAAATTTTTCACATCAAAGGTATCAAGAATTTTTAAATGCTTCAACTTTTATGTGATGAATGCATTACTTAAAATTTGACAAATGTCATAATCATTATAAATTATTTTATAAAACAGAATAAGAAATATTGTGAATATGTGCAAAACAAATATATATATATATAAAATATAATATTCTTAAGGCAGCATTTTACTTTGAAGCAGAGAAGGAAACTTGAGGGAAAACTTGTTCCTAAAATAAAGATTCGAGGGATTTTCTCCTCCGATCGCAATTTTCTAAAGATTAATCAACGCATAATTAAGAAAACTTTGACATTTCTGGAGCGAGATTTGTTATGCAATCTATTTCTCGAAAGCCCTTATTAGAAATGAAATCTGTAGTTTAATGAAGGATCAATACGGACAGAGAGATCACGAGGGTTAACAGCCGGAAACGATCGCGTGCGGTTCGCCACGAAAGGAAGAACGTTCCTTGGAATGCCATATGCGGTGTCGATTTGATTTTCTTTCAAGGACAAATCTCCAGTGATCTTCAAAGCCGACCTACCGCAGTCGCGGATGTACGCGTTCGTGGAACGCGGAAAAAAAATTTGTATATTCCGGTTATATATGCTTTGTCCAGTGCGCAAACTCGACCGGTCGTTCGACTCGATGGTCGGTCCCTTTTCTCCTTCCCTCGATGTTCCCCCTCAAGCTCTGCCCTTCTCCACTATTACTAACCCAACCGGGAACAGGTCCGACCCAACAGCGGGTGTCCTTAGAAAAATCGAAGAAATTGGGCCAAATTATTCTATACTCGATACATCAAGTTCATTCGGCCGGAAATGACATTTTTCATGTACAAAGAATTAACTGTAAGGAAAAATATATATTAAATATCTATATAATATATATTAATTATATTTCACATATATATTTTTCATATATTTTTCTTATATCTAATTCTGTGAAAATATTCATCAAAAATTTCATTATACGCATTTAATTTCCGAGTTAACTTTATGTATCGAGTATATATAATAATTTGATCTAATTATATAACTACATCAAACGCGAATTTTTCAATAAATTATTTCAACAATACTTTATAATAAAAAATATGATTAATCAAGTCAAGAGAAAAAGCAATTGAAGCAGAGGCAAGAAAGAAATCGAACTTACCGACGCAGCGACGACGTCATCATGGCATCCTCGTGGGTGCTTACGGTCCTGCGAAAGCATCCCTCGCAGGCCATGGCGCCGTTTCGGCGTCTCTGTCGGGCGTGCACCAGGAAGTCCCGTCGTAAGAGATCCTCTGTCTCTCTCTTCCTCCCACTCGGTCGACGTCGATCCCTTCTCCGACGACTCTCTCTCTCGCTCGCTCCATTTGACGTCTCGTCGAACGCGGTGGGAGAGTCAGGACAGGGTACGGACGAAGCACGGTCGGACGACACAGTCCTTCTCCGCGGATTGCGGAGATCGTCGCGTATCCTCTCGATATGCCGCTGCTAACCTAACGTCGAGGGTACAATCGTAAGCCGCGTCCTCGGCGTTTACGCCGATAGAGAGAGAGAGCACGGCGCAGGAACGGACTCGCTGCCTTCCACGAAGTCACTCTCTCGTGTATTCGCGTGGCGGGAGTATTCGGTGTTCTCTCGCGTCGTCGCGATATTACGTGTACGTACCTCGCTTTTGATCGTTGTCCTTCAACGTTAGCCGGCAAGGTTAGCGCGAGCTGTCGTGCACTGACAGATTTATCCGTGTCGTCCTCCTTTCTGACATCGCGGTCTGCTGGCATCGCCGACATGTAAACACAAGCGCGAATTAATTACTTCCACTCCGATCGAAGCACCGATATATAGTTTGCATGGAGGAGGAGACGCGATGCACTACTTTCGAATCCCAACTGTTATTGTGCTGCAAACTTTAGACTGCTCGCGGTTGGCACACATGTGTCACGTGACGTGACGTATGACGGGTAGGTGTAGTTGAATTTCGGCGCACTTCAAGCGAGACGCATACCTCGACTTCCGCATGTAGAACATCGCGAGTGCGTGGGTGCCTGTCTAATATCTCGATTCACGATCGGAGCCTCGTCTCGAAAGACATTCGCGTACTTTGACGAACGTCTCGACTCGCGTATTGTTCCGTCGAATATTCGGAGCAATGAAAGGAATTTCATTCATTGTCACGACGGAGTAGAAGTGTGCGTAGCGAAGAAATCAATGCGGGACAACGAATTGAGGATTATTATTATTATTATTATTATTATTCACGATCTCGCGGTCATAAAGAAGGAAAAGAGAGAGAATAAATGTACTTTTTCACCTTTATTTTGATTCATCCGCACGGTTCATCCGCGCGCCGCGTCGATGTGTGAAGTGAGTAGCGAGAGCGAGGAAAAAAGGCGACTCGCGCGGCAGCCAATCAGAGGAGTGGGGGCGCCGCGTGACGCGCGCAAAAATTTTCGACTCGCGCTCCCCTCTATCGCGCGACCTTCGCCATACCGCGACGAGCCGTGGACCGGGAGTGTCGTGTCTCAGCCGAAGGAATAAATCCGCGCGCGGATCATCCCGGATAGTTGTGTATACTCGACAAACTGCGTGTGCGGATGCGAGTGCTGGCGATACCCTTGTGCTCATCCTTCTTGAAAAATCGGACGCTAAGGATTCTTCGCCTTCGCGGACACCTGTGGGCAATTTGCGGGAGTTGTCATGGCAACCGGTGAGTTGACAAATAAACAATCATTTTATCGCGTATCTATCTCGAATGAAAAAGGATTGCAATTGTGGAAACGCGAGAGCTAATTCTCGAATTTTGGAATTTTGGAGCATGTCTCGAGGTATACAATATATATATATATATATGTGCATTATACGATGTAAAATTACAAATTACACTATTTCCGGATGCGCGCGCTAATTTCGTAATGAGTGAAGATTATTACGATGTTTTGTTTCGGAGCAAATTCGAAATGATACCGTATGTTAATGTGACCGAATTGAACTGCGTATTTAAATTATTATTAATTTCGTAATTATACATATACATACATATATGCATTAGATATAGTTATTTCTATATACTAATAATATATACAGTTAATTGGTATATTAAATATTAATGCATAATATTCCTGGTAATTTTAAGTGATTTGCGTAATATATTCTGTAATAATTCAATCGGATAATTCTAAAACCGAAAACTTCAAAAAAAATTAACGAGTAGTCTTCTCAAATATTTTGGTGAATTAAAACGCAAAATAAAAAAATGCAAATAATGCGTAAACGTATAACTATTGTGCAAAATAATATTTATTTATGTAATATTTTATGAATATTTTATAATTTATTTAGTTTGAAGACAAAGATTAACGTTATTCATTTTATGAGTCAAATAATTTCACAACTGCTAATTACTTTTTTCTTTTAATCTTAATATTAAGTGTTTTCTCGAGATAAAAAAATTTCAAAGAATATAACGATTATGCAGTCTTTTAATGTCAAGTCCTCAGTTTTAATAATTTAATATGCGATATTGAATGACAATCGTTTTGCATGTATTTCAGATATTTTTGTAAATGTCGCGGTCTATTCTAAATGACCTTGACCTTCATAAAGAATCGAATCGAACAGACGGTCGGATTTATTTTAATTCTCCTATATCCTTGTAAGACGAAAAACGAAGCTTACGAATCAAGTTGTCCTTCGTTCATTTTTCTCTTTTTAATACTTTGATCAGCTCGTACATGTTTAAATTTGTATTTTTTAATAATAGCGTTTCTAATTCGCGCCAACGATAAAAAATCGTGCGAAACGAATGTCGCATAATGAGAAAATAATACGTGTCACGAATATATACATATATATTATGCATAAATCTCACCAGTTTATCTTGAATCAATAACGATAAGAAGTTTGTCTCGCACTTCCTTCCCGTAGTTCCTTTCTCTTCCTCCCTTCAGGGTTGCTGTCCAAGTTGTTGATTGCAACAAGCGAACTTTCCGTTGTCTACTCGCCTCATCAAAAATGTATAAACTCCATCGGGAAAGTCTCGTTAACTAGAATAGGAAACTATCGTTACCTTATACGAACGAAATCTCAGAAATAACCGAAAATTATAAGAGACAAAAGCTATTGACAAAATTTTGCATTCTAATTCTGCACAATATTTGATGTATTAACCATCATATAATATAATGTGGGTCGATCATTAAATCATTAATAACGTTTGGCGCGAAACGCGCAGGCAGATTAAAAAAAAAAACAAATTTGTTAATGACATCAATGATGGATAACATATTGCCTAAAATTATTTATTAAATATTGCTATTAAATTTTACAACATTCGCGATTAATTTAAGGAGACGTGTTATTATAGGATTTAATTGAACACATGCAAGTTGAGCAAGTGTTTTTTTTTTAATTACGAGAATTGAAAGTCTTAAATTTAGCTTATTATGTCTAATTAAAATTAAAAATATTATATTAATATCCGCGCACTTTTTTCGAGATAAAATTCCCGAGATAAAATTCCGATCTTGCACGCCAAGCTCTCTCAGCTTTCTCGTTCGCGCTCTCGCTTAATGTTTACGCGAAAAGTTACGAGACTTCATCGATTTATTCGTGCACTCGGTGGATTCTTTTTACCGTTTCATTCGCATGCTGTAACTAGAAAGTTTCGCCGCTACACAGGCCGAACCTTTCGTTTGAGTTAATGGTCGCGTGTCTTCAGCGAAAAGTGGAGCGAACTAGCGCTTTATCACCTGTCCCGTTTCAAGGTCGTAAACGTTTCTTCTCATTCGTGAATATAAGATGTTGATTATCGAATCGACTCGGTTGAAAAATAATACGCGGGAGAAACCTGTACGAATCGTGCGTTTTAAAAATTACATTGATTACGAACGTTGATTATGAACAGTACATTAATTTTTTGAAGAATGGAAAAAAACTAGATAAGATATTTTTGCATGACGCTTAGCCGGATCTTTTATCGGTATTTTAAAATTTGAGGAATTTCCGAAGAGAAAAAGATGTAAAAAATGTAATTTTTTAATATTTATTTCTTCATGTTTTTATAGAAATAATTGCGATGAGTTTCTTCAATCGTATATTCATAAATTCAATTTGACGAGACATAACTCACATTTTTTTGCGACATATTTTTCTCTTCTCGTTTTTATATTTTTTAAATATATTATTAGACTTAAAAATACATGCAAATATATGCACATTTGATAACACATGCCTGTTGTGATGGATAATTTCCTTAAATCCGATCGTCTGTGTCTGTATAATATCGAATGACTAACACGAACAATTTTAAAGCATTATATCTTGTTTTTTATCGACACATAAATCACTTTGTTGTTCTGCGTCGATGTCTTTATATAATATCATATAAAGGATTTCGTTTTCTAGCAAGAATAATTCTGTGTTCCGTGCTGTTTTATCCATCTGTTTTTCTATTTGGAATTCAATGATAATAATTATTGTCGTCATAAGTAAGCGTAAGACTTACACAAATATATCGGCCAATTTAACAAAAGTTATATTCAACACATCCATTATATGAAATATGTCTCATTTTGCGGAATTAATCGAGAGATAATTGCATTCTGAGAATAAACGTGTGCTGAAATATTTTTCATCGTTAAACTTGAAATCGATAAAATCGATAGTTATTCGTGTAATAGATGTTGTAGAATAACGAACAATGGCAATTGTTAATTATATTATCGGTAAATGCTATTACTATATATATATATATATATATATATATATATATCGATATCACAATTGATTTCTGATGGTATGTTTTATCGGTTTTTATTTATTTTAAATTATATATATCTTAAAAAAAAGAGAGATGTTATAATCGTGCAATGTGTGTAAGGTATCATTTCGCAGAAACTCATTAATTTTTAAGAGTTCTGACTTTCTTTTTCTATCAGGATGCGGTAAAGGATAAAATTAAAATACTCTGTGAAGACAACAAACTCGCAGCAAACTGACGATGTATTCTACACACTTTGCAATATTTTACAAAGTATGCAATTCGTTTTTTTTATCTCTCATCAACATTCTGTTTGTCGTAATCGAAGAGCTTTTTTGCCTCGCGTATTTGTTTTCAGCGAATCGAATAGTTTCTCTGGTCCAAAGTCGTGTGTATATAAAGCTGCCGTATCATTTAATGTAAGATTATAAATAATTGATAGTTCTGACTTTATTTTCAATTGTTTACGTGAATGTGTTGCGATCTGTACACAGAGAATTTTCTCTTAGTTTATTTTGAAAATCATAGTAATCGTGGGACAATATGGTATTGGAAGAATTTTATTAGAGTTTTATTTTATTTTATTAGAGTTTCTCTGAATTTACCACAATAAAAAATTTAATATCTACGACAATAAGACATAAAATATGTTCGATTAATTTTACTATATACATTGTACATATTAATATATTTTATTGTGGTAAATATTAATCAGAGAAGCGTACTTGCTTCAGCAGTACATATACTAATTGAATTGAAAAATTGAATATTAATCAGAGAAGCTCTTATAAAATTTTTCCAATATCATATGTAATATTATTCCACGATTATCATGATTTTCAGGATAAATTCTCTGCGTGTAGATTTATATATCGTTAATTCTAGCTTACATATTTATATTATGTACATACGTTATAATACGAAATAAGAATTATTCTAACATATGTATGTATTTTATTTGTTACAGGTAGTATTGCGATACACAGTGCGATTCACGCGTCGTGTCGAGAAATCGACGTGTCGTTTAAAGCGTCGCGCGTCGGAAGTGCCGTGTAAAGTTCCGCGTGTCGGGAGTGCCGTGTAAAGTGTCGGTCGATCGTATAATTATTCGCGTTTCGCGAGTGCCGGGAGTGCTACAAAGGACCAAGAGAGGAGGAGGAGGCCAGGGGAGGCATCGGGCGACAGCGGGCAACTGGGAGGTATGCAAAAACATTTTTTCTAAACTGCATTGTATTAGATATTCGATCGTTCCAAATATCTTTCAAAATCCTTTCAAAATATCCTGTACACACACACATGTATATAAATAATTTGAATATTTTGTTTCCAGGTCATATGTGCTGCGTACTACAACTCCTATTGGACGTATCTGTGAGTTAGAAATTTATTTTTTATAACATTTCTGTGGAACGATAATAAGGGTGCGTGAAGCGTTTTATTTTGTGGAAACTTGTAAATAATGAAGAATTGAAATTCTCAATTATTTATGATCTTCCACGAAATGATATGCACACACTCCAAAGTCTGCGCGCAACGTAATTTCGGTATTTTCGAGGATTAGCGACAGCCGGCGGAATTTTACTCGCTCGGCCAGTAAAATACCAGGAACAAGCTTCTTGTCCTCTTATGCAGCAAACGCTCCATCCGATTCTCTTGTGCCGAACTCAGCAGTTTTAACTCTCGTCGCGCGAAATATCTCGCTGTAAATTCCTTCGTTTTATTGGAAGCGAGGAATTTTATTCGTGACGACTCGCATATCGCGAGTTGAATGCTGAAAATGGAGAAAATATAGTATATATAGCATATATATGTTGTATAATAAAAAAAAAAAAATATAAATGCACATCGTAGTCTTATATAGAGTGGTAAATGTTCTCTAATTACGAAAAATTAGGAATTTCGAGAATTTGAATTTTAAAGAGAATGACAATATTTTTATCTTGATTTAATTTCGAGTCCGAAAATCTAATTAAATTTTTAATGAAGAATTAGTTGTCAGAATACTTAACGAAAATACTTAATTGTGAAAGAAACGGATCTGCAATCTAACTCTGAAAGCGAGGTTCCATTTTAAGTTGTAAGATGAAAAGTGCGCGACTTTTGCAAGTGTGATGTCTCTTCTATATTCGATGAAGTCTCTCCGGTCTCCTTACAAAAGTTTCTACGCTGTCGCATATTTTGCTGCATATTCGGACGATGCGCCTGCATTTTTGTCGATACCCGTTTCCGGCATATATCTCGCGCACTGTTAGACGTAGACGTGTTGGAATCCGGCGTGACATTCGAGTATTCTACTATTCGTTTCTTCGTACCAGCTGGGATATCTCTCCTCGACAGGTGATATCCTCTAAAAGTGCTTGCATCATGAATCCGTGAAATAGAACGCTTTTTTTTTTACCGAGCTTTTAATGATATCAAGCACTTGACAGCAGCTGTGACTAAATACAAAAGATCCACGCGATGCAATTAAATTAATTATTCTGAAATGCTGATATTCCAATTAATAATAAATGCTGATATTCCAATTAATAATAAATCACCGATTTAATTGTTTTTATTTGTGACTATTTATTGATTTTTGGAAAATATTATATTTACTTATGCATATTTGAAATTGAATATTATATTTGAAAAAACATTTAATTATTTCTATTTTAATGATATTAATATTAATAAAATAAATATAACAAATAAATAAAAAGTTAGAAATTTAGAAGCTAATTGATAATAAAATTTTATATTTGTTTAGTTTAAGTAACAGATTTCCTTTCTATAAAAATATTTTATATCATCTACTCTGAAAGAGCAACTTGATTCTTTTAATTAAGAAGAGAGAGTGAGGCTTCTTGTAGGAAACATGATCTCTCTCTACTACTATTTTGCGGTACTTGTGAATTCGTTTACAGGTAGGATACGTATATATACACAAAAAATGTTAGCAGAAGGAGAGGAAGAGAATAAAAGTTAACGGTAGGTGCATTTATTCAATAATTATTCATCCAATTAGCGAAAATCATACGCGATTATCTGTCAATCGAAACTGAAACACATGTGTAGATGACGGATCGAGTGACAGAGGAGAGAGGAAAAAAGAGAAAGAGACCTTACGTTACATCGCTAAATTACACACGCAAGTGTTTAATAATCCGATCTCGAAAGTATCTCGTTCGAAAGAAATTTGATGAGGCGATAATAGTTCCGTAATCTCTTGTTTGTCCAGTCGAAAGTTCGTTTCTCCCGTTTATCCATAGCGCATAGAATATTCCTCTATACCGTACTTTAAACATGTAGGGTGAATGCTAAAGTCGGTTGCCGACCTTTCCGGTACTAAATTATAACTTGTCATACACACATTATTATTAATCGTGGCTTGAGAAGTGACATTAGAATTTATAGTTTTTATTTGTCACGTCTCAGAAATTAATAAAGTGCTATATATAATTTTAAAATAAAATTTTTATTATTTTAAAATCTTTCCTCTTATTATAATATAGATACATTTAAATTGAAAATTACTATTTTTTTATATTATTTTTATATATTCATGTATGTATTTGTGCGCGTACGCATATCTTTGTTCGGAAAATAACTGGAATTTGCAATTATAATTTTTGTGAAAATGAGTAACGAGGATTTTGCAATTTTCTTTATACGCGGTTAGACCTTCTTTGTTTCATCTAATTCTTAAAAGGACACGTCAGTGTAGGAGACATTCAAACGGATATGCACGACTAGATAATTACATCGTTATCGTGCGTCAAATTGGATTCATACGCGACTTCACGACCTCGACTTTCATGACCGTCTAGTACTAATTCACTTTATTTCTTCGTCTTCTTTCCTATTTATGTGAGCGAAGAAAGAGCGAGAGAGTTAGAAGAACGGGAATGAAAGAGTGCATTTAACGAACTGCTCGCGTTCGCAATTGCCAAGTAACATATCGTAACTGGTTTTATACAGTGAATCTTATTGTTATCGCATTAAAAGTGTTACAGAGTTTGTAAACCTCGTTACAAATGTTTAGAACTTAGTTAATTGAACAGGAGGGCGATTGTGTTTCAATTAAGTGTATCAATAGTAAGGAGAAAGAGTTTAGAATAATGAAAAATTATTATAAAACTTTAATTAACATACGTACATATTCAAGGTGCGATTGTCTATATATTGAGTGCTGCATATATTTAATTTCGAAAGAATATGGCTTTTAATTAAAAAACGAAAATAATTCGCTATATATGCTTTCTTCAGAATGGAGTAAAAAATTAGTTTGTCATTAAATTTGTTATTTTTCAATATTTGTATTTTTCTTGTATTGCATTTGTTGTCCTTTTGCGTCAGAGAATTTTTCGTAATTGATAGTTGATGATTGAAATTGGTCGTTTAAACGCATTAACGCGATAACGTAGGTGATTGAAAAGAATTTGAACCGACGATTACATGTATATTTACTTGCAACGCGATCGATAGTTGTTCGTGTTGGTTTATTTGCGAATTGTAGAACGCGGCACAGACCAAATCGAATCGTTTTGCCAATGTTTATCGATGTTTTTATATACGCGATAACGCGTTATACGTACAAATATAGCTTGGAGTAGCCTGCGCTATTCTGCTAAAATCGTCGATACAATCCTTTTTACAGGATATGATAATCCAGTTTGTGATTGAAATCTGATCGTTAAAATGCTATGATCCTTTTCTCGTACACCGCGTATAACGAAATACCATGCATTCGCAGTGATACAGTTTGGCTGTAACGAGTGCTTTAATTCTGCAATTTCAAAGATTAAAATGATCCCTCGAATTGCACAGTTTTTTTCCCGACATATATTACATTTCAAAGATGTATTTTTATATTTATTTAAGGACTAAAAAAAGGTTTAAAAATAAATATTACACTCATAACGCACTCTCTCTCTCTCTCTCTCTCTCTTTTCCTAGAATGCAATATTATAATTTTTCAAGCCCAAGTCAAGTTTCACATATTACGTATTGTTTACGTTCGCAAGACTTCTAATAGAAGATATTCTGTTTTCGAAGCTTGACACGAATCGAGGGCGCGTTGCACAAACTCTATCGATTTTATTCGAAAATACCTGACCAATGCGTATATCACTATGAATCTGGCAGATTAATGTTTCCGCGCTTGTTATAGCAAACGTTTATATCTTCGCGTGTGATTCATGACATACGTTAGACGTGGCATTAAATCGACTTACCGTCCTGATAGCCGTGATAACGAAACCTGTATGTAGAGTCTCGTCACACCGGAAAATGACAAGAAACAGCCGCGATTCAAACGAATTTTTTCACCCCTTTAATCATTTCTTTCGACAGGAAAAATAAATCCTCTCCGGTTCTACATTTTCAATACAAATCATCAAACAAAATGCAACTTTAGAAATGCTGTCATTAATTTTAAGCTTCTCAAAAATATTTCTTGTTATTAGTATATGTTTGAAACTCACACGTGGTTATTATTTTTTATTCCGTAGCGACTCGATAAAAATCGCTCGAAATCCCAAGGTACAGGCCTTTAAAAGAACGAAGAAAAAGGTATATTATGAAACTGCAGAAAGATCCTCTTTCTATCTCTCTCTCTCTCTCTCTCGCGCGCAGATATCATCGAGATATCGCCTAGCAACGAAAGCTGATAGCTTCCACTGAATCGATAGACGCCCTGTAATGCAATATATCGGATGGCACTCCTCGGCCTTCGGCCTATGCCCTGTCTCTCGCTTTCCCTTCCTCCATTTTCCCCTGTCTGTCTCGTTTCTCTCTATCGTGCGCTCTATGTACTCGCGAGAGAGTCCATGTACCCGTTGCCCTTGAGTAAATACATTTATTCCTCCGCTCGTCTCCTCTCCCTGTCGTACACCCCCGTATATATATATATATATATATGTGTGTGTACGCATGCAAATTCGTACGCGACATGCGTTTGCCCGTGAGGCGTGAATCGAACGCGGGAAGTCAACCCGTTGCGAGGCCTCGTTCGCTTTGATCGTCTCGCCAAATTTTCTCCGAATTTATCTCGAACCGTCTCGTTCATTTCCGGACGATAATATTACAATGGTATTTTCGCGAAAACTTGAACACGACGATGTGAGGAGCGGATAAGGGATGAATTCATGTCTGTCTCGGGAAATGACGCATGTACAATATATATATTCTAGATGCATATTTGAAAATCATTGTTGCGATACTTGCAATTAGCGCCGCTTTTTTTTTCCCTATATATATACAATGGATATATTCGCGACGCCAAATTTGAATCGCGATTGCGATCAATTTTCTACAAAGCTTTGCGTTTCAAATCTATTTTTTGTTCAATTGAATATATTTGAATAGAAATACAACGCACTATTGAATTG